TCATTATTTAAAATTTTAAACATTGTAATTAAATCTCCTCTCTGCCTGCTACGGTATGATAAGGTGAAGACATTTAAACTGTCTAGTCATTCCTCGTATGGTAGATTAGTCATGCCAGGAATCATGTGTTGCCTTCCTTTGAACCCTCCCTAGACTATGAAACCCCTCTAAGACAAGGACTGACTGTCTGGATACAGTTTTTCAGTCTAGGTGAATATTTCTCTGGTGATTCTGGTAAAGGCTCTGCTAATCGCCCTTGAGGATCTGAAACTACCTGAAGCCACAGTGTGCTGTAGCTTTTAAATCGTAATTTAGTATGGCACTGAAATCCAAATGGGAGTGTTATCCCCTCTAGTTCGTAGAAGCTGACGCTTGAGTGTTCAATGCGTAAGGTTGCGCATTTTGCTACTTTCATTAGGCGCATCCATTCTTTTGACCACCCTAACAATTTACTGAGGTCCTCTTGCAACGTAAACGAATCACTGTTGCCCTTCAGCTCTCTTCAAATTTTTAAGTCATATGCGTATAGGACCATAGGGGAATCGGTAAGCAGGGATAACTCATTGATGTACAAAATAAATACAAAAGGTCCGACTACCGTGCCTTGTAGCACTCCACTACACACTACTGTTCAGGAGGACAGTTTCGAGTTGATCCTTAACCTCTGTCTCCTGTATATGAGGAATTCCCTAAACCGATTTAATAACCTGCCTTTGATACCGAGACTTTCCAACTTCATGAGTAGTCTTTTGTGAGGAACTTAATCGAAGGCTTTGCCGAATTCTATGAGGACGACGTGGTATTCGCGCTAAAATCACAAATTAATAGAATTTAGAATTCATGGGCTGGTCATTGAATTGCGTCCCAATGGCTGAATAGTATACGAGCGAGCTTGCCTTGTAACTGGAAGGCCCTGGGTTTGAAACCCAGTAGGTGCGTACTGCCAATGAGTTCCAAACTAGGAAGAAACAGCTGTCCAATACTCCCAGTGGTTCTTTGCCTGATATCGATCTGTGGTCTAACCTGAAACAGTACAGTGTCCAAAATAACAGCTAGTCAATATATGAACCCAAAAGCATCAAATTTCTTAATTTTGTAGAGGCAATACTTCATTAAGTTCAAATTTGTGGGTATTCCTTGTTGAGTATAGTGATTGACAAAGTTAGATTGCAGACAAAAATTAGGAATAGAATATTCGGGTTATGACCCATCTTGTAAGTCATTTCACTGAATTAAGTGACATACACTGTCAAATAAGAATTCATGAAGAGATCCTAATATTTGGGATTTTTCAAGGATGTCCCAAGGAAATCCATGTTGTACTCAGCCACCTGAGGAAATTTTAATTGACTATCGTCAATGTGATCCTTGAATTTTTTCTGTCAAAGCCCTAAATGTTTGTATCAGTGGTAACAAACATGCTATCAGATTGGAAGTGTTACCTTATAAATTTATTAAAGATTAAGCTTTCTACACAATTATTACGTGAGTTTGTTAATCACGTCTCACACGTGTGTGGAAGGCGACCTACGACTGATTAACTGACTAATTAAGCCTTAACAATGAAGTTTTGCACAGTAGTGCACCATTGCAAGTTGCCACACTTCTAGAACTAGTAGACTTGTGTGTCTGTCTGCTTTCGACGTAGAACTTTGCATCGATGTGCACCACTTCAAGTAGCCACACTCTCTCCATGTAGAAAAGCAAGAGAAGAAAGTAGAAGAAATGCATAACAGAGACAGTAAACAGAGGTATTAGACAAAGGAATAGTAATAACGAAGAACAATACAGTTTCATTGGAAATTATAAGTCACAGGGAGTGGATGCATCCACGCTATTCATTGAGAACGATTTTGAGCCATATCACCAATTGTGTCCAGCTACCATTGGTTTTTTACCGTCCCGGAAGTTTACACCTTCCTACGTGACTGGCTGAAACTAATTGTTGTGCATTTCATTGACTGATGAAGTCATGTTTTGGCTTGACCACCACTAGCTCTTTTCTTGCCTGACCCTGTCAGCTGACATTGCCCGTCGGTCAAGGAAGGCGATGACTGGGCATACGTAACACATGTCCTAAACATCTCAGTCGATGTAGCTTCACAGTCGAATTCAATTCCAGGCCGACACACACTCCGAAACTTCGTTTAGCGGGGGAGAAATGGAAGATTGGACGTGAGGCTGGCAATCCCACCCTGTTGTAACAAAATCGCACAGCTATTGAAACTCTAAAGCCTGAAGCCCTCTGTTCCATTCAGAACGTAAAGAATGAAGACAAAATGGATGCAAATAAAAACCAAGCTAAGAAAATCATCTCGAAGATTTCCTGAGGGCGGAAATTCATTAAGTTTTGAGAAAATATAGAAAATCCCCAAAGAAACATTTCCGTACACCTATTAGACCGACAACAAGTGAAGTTGTAATCAGCTTCATAAAAGTAGTTTTTTTATCTCTTTACGTTCCCAGTGAACCAAAGGGCTACAAGCTAGAGCTCTGAAGGTTCGCCAGCAGTAATGTTTATTTTAACGCGAGGAGGTTGCTAGCCTCATGCCCAACCTTCCCTCTTTACCGGTTTAGCTAGGTAGAGAAGGGAGTAGGTCGGGGGGAGGGGGGTTGGTGAGCATTCTGTTATTAAGCCGTCAACGCCTATCAAAACTATGAATTAATCATAAATCGCCTTATACTTCTGCATAAACCCTAAGAAATGCCTGTTTACATCTGCTGTGATGATAAATGATTGGCATTCTGTTTGCATTATCACTGATCCTACTGATCAAGAAGTGAAAACTTCACGTGATGTTATGATTTTTGCATTTTTTTTGTCAATTTAATTCCCTCCTAAGATTCTGTCAAGTTTTTCATCATTCAGGTAAAGGTGTTTATCATCACACTTATAAGTCAATGTTCGATTAAAAATGTGTGCTTAGATAAGTGTGCTTCAACCGACTTGGAAATTGAAGCTATTATTCCGTCTAAGAAAGTAACTAGAAATTATTATCCTGTAAAAAGATATCTAAATGTGGTAATTTAGCAACATTGATGTTATTTTTCAAATTGGAATCTTATTCAGATGCCAACAAACTCCTCTTGGTGGTAAAGCGACTCCATAGGATTGTACATTTGCTGGGTATTAATGATGAAGATATATTATTTTACTTGCTGATAACAAGTAATAGGATGAGCGATATTGCGGTTAAGCGCCGGTCGAGTGCCAGGTAGGTGAGAGGGGAAATCAATCGACAAGGCTGTGACGTTACATACACTGAGATGGTTAGGACAGTCATGCCTAGTCATCGCCTTCCTTGGCAACGGGAATATTAGCTGACATAGGGTTAGGCTGGAAAAGAGCCACTGTTGGTCAAACCGAAACATGGCTTCATCAGTCAATCAAATACACAACAATTAGTGTCAGCCAGTCACGTAGGAAGGTGTAGACTTCTTGGTTGGTGTCCTCAGGGCAGTACAGACCAATGGCTGGATACAATTGGTGATATGACTCAAAGGCGGCATTCGATTCTGTCGACCAAGAGGTTCTCTGGCGATGCTTGGCTGTAAAGGGAATCCAGAGAAAATACATTGCACTGATTAAAGCATTCTACTCGTACTGATACAGCCAGGTGAGGGCTTACGGCGAGCTGTCATCTGAACTGATGACGACCAGTGGTGTCCGTCAAGGATGCCCATTATCTCCTTTTCTATTCAACTTCATCATAGATGTGTTAATGGACTTAACCCTAAGTGACTTCAGTGACTCAGGGATTGACTTGCTACCGGGGAATAATCTCGTTGACTTCGAATATGCAGACGATATAGTCCTTCTAGGCGAAGACGCTGACGAAATGCAGAGTCTTCTAAACACCTTGAGCCGCAATCTACGAATGTTTGGCATGCGATTCGCTCCCGCCGTGAAATGCAAGATGATGTTACAGGACTGGACTACACTGACTCCTAGTTTAGAAATAGGAAGTGAAGTGGTAAAGCATGTTGACCGCTTCACTTATTTGGGAAGTACCATCAGCCCCAATGGGTTGATTTCTGACGAAATCTCAGCACGGATACAGAAGGCTAGTTTCACATATGCCAGTTTACTCCGTCTCTGGCGTAGACGTGATATCCGACAATCGACAAAAGGGCGGGTGCACTGCTCATCAGTCCGCTCCGTCCTCCTTTATGGTTGTGAGAGAGAGCTGGCCATTGAGAGTGGAAGACATGAAAAGATTAGCTTTCTTTGATCATAGGTCCCTGCGTTCTATCTCGCGTGTGAAGTGTTATAGTAAGGTGAGCAATATTGAGGTTATGCTTTGGGTTCTAGGTAAGGAGGGGAAATCAATCGACGACACTGTGAAATTACATCGATTGAGATGGTTAGAACATGTGTTACGTATGCATAGTCATCGCCTTCCTCGACGGGCAATGTTAGCTGACATAGGGTCAGGCTGGAAAAGAGCTAGCCAGTAGTGGTCAAACCAAAACATGACTTCATCAGTCAATGAAATACACAACAGTTAGTTTAAGCCAGCCACGTAGGGGAGGTGTGGACTTCCTGGTTGTGGTCCTCAGGACGGTAAACACCAATGGTAGCTGGACACAATTGGTGATATGGCTCAAAATCGTTCTCAATGAATAGAGTGGATGCATCCACTCCCTGTGACTTATAATTTCTAATGAAACTGTATTGTTCTTCGTTATTACTATTCCTTTGTCTAATACCTCTGTTTACTGTCTCTGTTATGCATTTCTTCTACTTTCTTCTCTTGCTTTTCTACATGGAGAGAGTGTGGCTACTTGAAGTGGTGCACATTGATGCAAAGTTCTTTGTCGAAAACAGATAGAATTCGGACCATTTGCGTAAGTAGTCCTCCCCACCCCGCTCCCTTCCAACGACTCATGTTTGTATTTACTTAACATGTATTAATGAACTGATTTGTAAATATTTGTTAAATATATATTTGTTTCCCTTTTTCCCTTATTCAGAAAAATAACAAGGAACAGTATTCCTTATGCAGTCGAATCAGGCACGTTCAGCAGCATCAAGTAGTCAAGGAAATTTACCGCGTAAAAGGAATACGCATATTCAAAGTTTGAAGGCTAGACTTCGAACAAATATTAATTCAATTTTGTCTAATTATGAAATGATTCTGTCTCGATCTAAGGTAAGATTACATTTCTGTTGTATATATTAGAACAACAACAATATACTTATAGATTGATCCAAATGAATTAACTAAAGGATTAAATCCGTATACTCAATGTGCTCAAGATACATTTGAGTTTAGCGTGAGAGCTGCTAACATTGTAAGTTTTTATTTTCTCTAACAGGTTAACTGTCTATCTGTCTGTCTGGATTCAACGTAGAACTTGGCACCGAAGTGCACCAGTTCGAGTTGCCACGTTCCAAATAGCACACGAAGGTAGACAAGAAGATGAGTGAAGAGAATCAATACAGTCTGACAAGTATAAGAGTGAAACAGAATGGGTAATGGTAGAAAGGAATATGAAAGATTACAGAGACTGAATACATGTGCGCTGGCCATTGACAACGATTTTGAGCCATGTCACCTATTGTCTCCAGCCATTGATTCCTAGAGTCCCGAGGGCCCCAACCCGGAAGTCTGCATCTCCCTATCTTACTCACTTTAACTGTCAAGGATTTCATGGATTGATGAGGCCATGTTTTTGTTTGACCACCACTTACTCTTTTCCAACCTGCACCTATATCAGCTAGTAATGCCCATCATCGGGGGAGGCGATAGTTAAGCATGCGCAGCACGTGACCTAGCCATCTCAATCTATGTAACTTTATAGTCTCGTCAATTGATTTTCCCTCTTTGCCCAACAGTCTACGCCTAATGTCAACATTACTTACCTTATTAAACCACCTAACGTGGGAAAGAGATCGTAGACATCTATGATCGAAAGCAGTCAACCTTTTGGTGTCTTCACCTCGTATTGGCCATGTTTCAGAGCCATAGAGAAGGACGGAGCGAACTGCTGAGCAGTGCACATGTCCCTTGGTTGATAGCCGGATGTCACGCCTACGCCAGAGATGGTGTAAGTCAGCGAAAGCAACTGGAGCTTTTTGGATCCGTGCTGAGATTTCGTCGCCAATCAGTCCGTTGGTGCTGATACAACTTCCCAAATAGGTGAAGTGGTCAACATGTCCTATCACTTCACTCCCTATCACTAGGCTAGGAGTTGATTTAGTCCAGTCCTGTAGCGAAATCTCACATTTTACAAGGTCGAATCGCATGCCAAACATACGAAGATTGCTGTACAAGGTGTTCAGAAGACTCTGCATTTTGTCAGCATCCTCCCCTGACAGGACTATGTCATCTGCATATTCTAAGTCCATAAGACTATTCCCTGGTGATAAGTCGATTCCTAAGTCGTTACGTTCAGTTAAGGATACTTCCATCAGCATATCTATGATGAAGGTAAACAGGAAAGGGGAAAGTGGACATCCCTGTCGGACACCACTGGTTGTTATCAATTCAGATGACAATTCCCCATAAGCCCTTACACGACTACGTGAGTTTGAATAGAGTGCCTTGATTAGTGCGATATACTTTTTTGTCACTCCCTCCACGGTTAAACATTGCCATAGTACCTTTCGATCCACGGAGTCGAAGGCCGCCTTCAAGTCAGGAAATATGGCAATTGTTGGACGCCGAAAAGTGTGTCTATGTTCTAGAATCTGTCGGAGAGTGAAGATATGATCTATGCACCCTCTACCTGATCTAAAGCCTGCTTGATTTTCCCTCGTTTGTTCCTCCCGAGTTCTGCTTAGTCTACGCATGATTACTGAGCCTAGGATTTTAGAGACTATGTTCGTTAGGCTGATCCCCTATGATTATCACACGAGGACTTGTTTCCCTTCTTGAATATCGGTATAATAAGTGACTTACCCCAGTCTGATGGAACCGTCTCTGATTTCCAGACTTTGCCTAGTACCTTAGTTAATTTACATATTTAAATACCTCGGGAATAATTCCGTCGGGTCCCTGCCGCTTTGCCTCATGTCAAATTACAGATAGCTTTTAACAGGTTAACTAGATTTAAAAAACTTAGTATTATTTTATATATTTTTTTCAATTGTTTAGTTACTCTGAGTGGAAAGTTCTCGTATCGAGTCATAACAGTGAGAAAGGGCACTTTTCTTCTCTCCAGCGAATCATTTTTTTATAAATTGAAGGTTTATACTTGTATTTAAAAGATGGCATCAATAGCACAGTGGTGGTAGAATGTTTTCCAACCACGCCTCATATGGTTCAAGGTTCTATCATCTCTGGCCAATGCACTCCTTTACCTTGCTAAGCCAATAATATAAGACTACTGGTGAAGAGAGAAGGTTGACCATGAGGTTGGCAACCGCCTCGCTTAAAACTAAACACCACTGCCAGTTAACCTTTTAAGCTCTAGGTTGAAGCCCTATGTTCCATAGGGATCGTAAAAGAATACCATAATAATAAGTAACTTATATTCAAAGGGAGATTCATTGAAAATAATCAAATAATGGTAGTGTACTCCAGGAAGTGTTTTACGCAATGAGTAGAGTCATCCAAAAGAAGAGAATGGACAAGTGGAAGTTGACTGACAGACTGACTGGTGTCTACATCGGACCTGGCCATTAAAAGTGGAAAACATGGAAAGCCTGGCTGATCATATGTGCTCTCCTTCTATCTCCCGTGTTAGATGCCATAGTAGGGTAAGCAATAATGAGTTTAGGCTTCGGTCTATAGGTAGGTAGGTAAGGAGAAAGGGGAAATCAATAAACAAGGTTGTGAAGTTATATTGACCGAGAGAGAGAGAGAGATGGTTAAGGCATGTGTTACGTATGCCTAGGAATTGCCTTCCTCGACGGTCAGCAATGTTAACTGACATAGGATAGATGATGTTGGAAAAGAGCCAGTGGTCGTTAAACCAAAACATGGCTCCATCAGTCAATGAAATCCACAACAGTTAGTTTAAGCCAGCCAGCCAGCAAGGGAGGTGTAGACTTCCTGGTTGGGTTTTTCGAGAACCTGCGTCAGAGACGTTACCTTTTGAGCTAGCTATTTGGGCTTGCAACTGACCTCCTGTAGGACTTTATTTCATATTTTGATCGGACGCTATTTAGTAACTAGTGTAGTGTGTGTCTAGTTCTTGGTGTGTGTTGGTGCAGACTGAATACTCTCAGTCAAGTTCTCAATGTGTCCAGATACGCTTTGCTGACTGGTGAGTGTTAACTAGCAGGATACATAGGTCGAGCAAGGCTCCCTGCCGATTACTTCCAACCATATAATTGCAACTCTATGCATCATCATCACAGAAAAAAAGCATGGAATGTCAATCAAACCTCTACCTCAACTTTATAGACTTCGAGAAGGCCTTTGACATACAGCGTTGACTGCGAAGTAATTTAGAAACTACTCGAGCACTACGGCGTACAGTGCCCCAAATATTCATCAACCTTATTCAACAGCTGTACGACAACAACGGAACATGTCAAATGATCCACAACGGAAAACTCAGCGAGGCGTTTGGAGTAAACACAGGAGTCAGACAAGGGTGCTTATTATCTATCACCAATGATATTCCTAATTGTGGTGGACTGACTGGCTTATGCGTCAGACAGTGGGTGGGAAACGAGAAACGGGACAGGGATATCCTGGACCGACATGGAGAACCTAGAAGACCTGGATTTCGCGCGTGGATGATTTATGTATGATGTCACACAAAATCGAAGACTTACAAGCGAAAACCGGCAAACTGGTAGAAGAAGCAGATGGCGAAGACAGGACTCCAGGTGGACATAGACAAGACGGAGGTTATGAAAATGACCAACCAACAACAGCAACATCCAGCGTCAATCACCATCAACGGGAGGGATTTGAAAGCGGTTACTTCATTCATTTATCTAAGGAGCATTGTCTCAACTACAGGCACTCGGAACGGACGAGGATGTCAAACGAGCGAGGATCGGGAAGGCGGGCGAGAAACACATTCATTCATCAACCTGAAACAACCAATCTGGAAATCTTCGTCACTCAGCCAGCATCAACAACAAAATTCGGTCGGATTTTCAATACAAACAACGTCAAGTCAGTCAGTTCTTCTATACGGATGAGAAACTTGGTGGGCGGGTCACAAAGAATATTTCCAACAGGCTATTGCAGACCTTTATCAACAATTGTCAACTATCGCTCTATACTGAAGATCAGATGGCTGGGCCGGAAAGAATCACCAACAAGAACAAACTATGGGGAGAAACAAACAAAACAAGAACCAATCGCCCAACAAATATGCAGGAGAAAGTGAAGAGATGGATTGGACACTCGCTGAGGAGGCCGCTGGTTAACATCACGCGCGTGAAACCCGGAAGGGAAGCGGTGAGTGAGACGTGTCCAGGGGTGACATGGAGGAGGTCGTGTGAAGAGGAATTGAAAGAGTATGGACTAACATGGATGCAGGTGAAAAGTACAGCAGAAGGAAGACAGAAGTGGCAAGTGGAGACGTGCACTTGAAGCCCTCCTTATGTTCCACTAGGAACCCAAGGGAACAATAATAATAATATAATACCAACAATTCAAAGTGTACCGTGATGGCGAGGCACGCAAGCATGTTGGCCACACGACAAACTTGGCTGACGATAGAATTCAGCCTGCACCAACCAACACACCAAGGACTAGGCACACACACATCACACTAGTTACTAACTAGTATCCAAACAAACGTACTCTTACATATTGAAAGATGTTATTGATGAACTTGAATTGTATTGTCGATACATGGATAATACATTTTTGATTATGGAAGGTGAGGAGGAGGAAGAAGCAAAGAGCATCCTGGATAAATTTAACAACATTCATCCTGCAATAAATGTTACTCTATTGAGAAAGAGAAAGACTCTAGTTTTTCATTACTAGACGTTCTTATGACCAGAAAAGAGGATGGCCTCAATAAGAAGAAGGGTATATATAGAAAACCTACATCAACTGACTGTTAATATACTCATTTTTTTTTCAGCTTCGTGCCCTTAAAATACAAATGTAATCTGATAAAGTGCTTCGTCCGCCACAAAGCAAGAGCGATCTGCTCGGATGAATGTCTTGATGAGGAACTTAATAATATTATAAACAGTTGCTTAGTGAAAACGGTTATCCAGAAAAATTTATTGATAAGAATATGAACAAAAAATCAAGGCAGCCCAAGATACTAACAGTTCTTAAGTCAGCATTATTCTTACAAATGCAGTTCCTAGGAGATAACATCAGCGAGATACTAACACAACGCCTGAGAAATGTGGTAAAAAGAGCATTCCCTGTTGCTGCTGCTGTTGCTGAATTACGCTGTGTCTTCAAAACCACCGACTCCTCTTTTGCATTCCGGAGTAAAAGATAAACTGCCTAATTTCGCCTCTTCCATGTGTATCTACCAATTTAACTGCTCCTGTGGAGTGAGCCAGTTAGTTGCATAGGCCGTACAATAAGGCGTGTTTCTCGTCGGATTTCCGAACATCATTCTGTATAGTGGTTAAGTAAAGAACAAATAAAATCTATTCACATAGCGCTATTCTGTCTCCTTTTGTGGATGAAACACAGAACACAAGATTGATTTCAACGAGGCGGCCTTTAAAGTCATTTACCGCATACCCTACGAATCTCGATTTCGCCTTAACAGTTCGATTACTAAATATTTCTGAGGCTGGCTGTTGGGATCCACATTAAGAAGCTTAATTTATGCGTCCAAAAGAAGCTAGTTCTGATATTATCCTTACCTTGGCCATCTAGGTTTGAATGATCGTCAATTTATTGTGGGATTTTCCTAATTTTAATTGATATTCTCTTTACTATTATATTTTTGATTGCATGGAGGATTTCATCATGGGCTAACATTGGAAAACCACCTGAGGGTGTACTAGACACTTGTTTCGTCCTAGTTTGGGACTCTTCCACAGCAGTACGCACCTACCGGGATTCGAAACCAGAACCTTCTGGTTACAAGGCTAGTGAGCTCGTAGACCATTGAGCCACTGGAACACGATCCAATAGTCGTTGAATTCTAGCTTCTGCCAATTCACGACATAGCGTGACCACTTCGCAATGTTATCTCCGATGAGTTACTGCCTCATCTTCAACCTGCTGTACCCTACTGGTCACGACTTCTTACTAGAATTAATTTATTCATCTTTAATGAACTGTAATTCCATTGTGATCTTATTTAACAAATCGATATTATTTAAAGAACACACCAATATTGGTATTGACTACTATTCTAGAATATTCTATGTATATAAACATGCATATATAATTGTAGAGCCACACGAGGAGGAAAAGGATATTCTTGACTCGATTATTTTGTGTTTTATAGATGTCTGAATGAATATTTTCGCTTTATTGTAAATTACACCATACTCACTATTCCAAGTAAATGGATACTTAAGTGTTGGTTTGTAGGGATTTGTTTGATTGGTTAGAGGATTTCATCATGAGCTGACATTGGTTAGAGAACCATTGGGAAGTCGTCACCAGTAGTAGGGTGCAGCAGGTCTGGTATGAGGACAAATACTCGCCGAAGACATTAGTTAGCAGCAGTTGCGCTATATTGTGAATTGGCAGAAGTTAGAATTCAAGAACCATTGGATCGGGTCCCAGTGGCTTAATGAATGGTATACGAGTTCGCCTTGTAACCTGGAGGTCCTGGGTTCGAACCCCGCGGTGTGGGTGCGTACTGATGAAGAGTCCCAAACTAGGACGAAACAGTTGTCCAGTACTCCCGGGTTTTCCAATGGTTCTCTAACCAATGTTAACTTATGATAAAATCCTGTCACTAAACAAATACTTATTCTCATCTCACCCTCTCCCCCCTCTTTTTTGTTATTTTTTTTTTCAATTTTAGGTTCATGCATGTGAAAATATTGCTCGTTTAGTATCAGAAATTAAACAATATTTAATATTAGGTGATTTTTGTTGGTTAGCTGAGGTGACTGAATGCAATCGTGAAAGGCTACGTCGTCGTACATTAGATATCGATCGAGCGACAATACGTTTACGTGATAAACTCATTACAGAATTGCATAGTTTAGACGAAGAGACAAGTCCAGATTATCCTATCCCAACATCATCGTCATCATTGACTTCATCGATGGATACAACATAAAAATATATTTATGAAGTGTATATCAAAGAGGACTCAGGTTGTCACACTATGAAACTTGATCATTTCATCTTTATTTGTACAGATTTATGTAATTTATGAATGTTGATTTATTAAATAATTATATATTTTTTCCTATATTGTTATTATTCATTTCCTTGCCTTCTGTATGGTAGATAAGGGAAACCTCAGTAGCACCCCCTGTCCTCTCTGCTGCACCTGGTTCTCTCTGTGAGCACTTCCACTTGGCACATGACATTAGAAATTCTAGGTTTCTTTTGTAGGTCTTTCATATCTTGATGATTTCTAAGAAAATATTCCGTTTTACCTTCTACACCAAGAAGTTAAGACATTCTGAAATAACCCAACCCTTACTCCTATAATTCGTTAACTCTTGCATCCTGCCTATTATTCTCTGAAGACTATACGTTATTACGCAGGATGTTAAAAGTTGTCAGCAGGGTGAGCAACGTGCCACTTATTCAGTTTGTTAATATTCCGGTCGACAGGTACTTGGACTCATGTGGAAAATGGGCTAAATCCATTTTATCTAACTCACATCACCCTCTTCATTGACAACTCTCCCCCGCCCCCACCTTGTATCTCATCAGGCAGAACCAGAAGCCTATATAGAAAAAACTATATTCTCGCACTAGCAAGTACAAAAACTCAACCATACCCTACTTAGCTCGTGTTCTGTGCGATGAAGAGAGCATTAGGCGTGATACCTATAACTTATTAAATATTCAGTAGAACAACTGGATCTCATCCTTCAAATTCATATCATCTATAGATACTGCGTTTTTTCTTTCTTTCCTTTCCTTTTCTCTTTTTTGTTGTTATGTGCTGTTTTGTTTCTCTCTTCCTTACAAATTCTATTAAAAACATTCTTCTTCATTCTCTCACACTCTGTATATCTCGACCTTTTTGTTACCGCTTATGCCAGTATATGTGCTAGTATCTACTTTTCTAACACCTTCAAACATTCTGTTCACTTTTGGCTTTGCTACCGATATGCTAATATGTTGTTGTCAAAATTAACTGAGATTACCCTTAATCTATGTAGAATTTTATTTATTGTTAATGTACAAACTGGATGCAACGCTGTAGTAAAATTCTGAGAATTCCATTCTGTATCACAAGTACTGAATTGGAATAAAGCAAATTATCATTATTATATTCTCATCTTGTCACTCTCCGTTCAGTCTCGCATAATCCTGTCCACTACAGTAAAGAAGATCAATAGTGATCGTCGACAGTCTGTTCTTACGACTGTTTTTTTTTTCAATTCAAAGGATTCAGTGAGATGTTACCATTGTGAATAGGTGGTGGTTAATCCGTACTGATCCAGCTTCTGTAAACCAACAGTTCTAAATTAATCTCATTGACTGTCTAGTTTCAATGTAGAACTTTGCAGAGATGTACAGCAGTCTTAGTTGCTACACTCCCTTCCTCATTGTAGCACACAAAGCAAGAGAAGGAAGTAAATAATTAATAATAAATAGAGATATGAGGCAAAAAGTATACGTAATATGCAGGAACGACAGAATTTTATTGGATACTATAAGTAAGTGACAAGGAGTGGATGCATCTGCGCCTGTCATTGAGAATGGGGATTTTGAGCCATCTATTGGTTTTTACCATCGTGAGGACCTTAACCAGGAAAATCTACACCTCCCTATGTGACTGGCTGGCTTAAACTAACTGTTGTGTATTTTATTGGGTAATGAAGCCATGTTGGTTTTGGTTTGACAACCACTAGCTCTTTTCCAACCTGACAAATTCAATGTCAGCTAACATTGCCAGTCAGTCGAGGAAACCGACGGCTAGACGTGCATGCGTAACACATGTGTCCTAACCATCTCTCCCAATCGATGTAACTTCACAACCTCGTCGACTTATTTCCCCTCCTTCCTTACCTAGCGCTTGACCGAAGCCTCACCTCAATATTTCTCACCTTATTACACCTACCACTTTTTACGGGAGATAGAAGACAGGCATCTATGATCAAAGACAGATAGCTAGTCAGGCATTCCATGTATTCCACTTTCAATGGCCATGTCTCATCCACAGCCATAGCGGAGGACAGAACGAACTGCTGCTGCTGCTGCTTAGCAGTACCCACGTCTCTTGACCGACAGCCAGTTGGATATCACGTCTACTAAGTCAGAGATGGCGTACGATGACCAAACATGCCTTCTGTGTTCGTGCAGAGATTTCGTCAGTGATCAACCCATTGGGGCTGGCTGATTCAACCTTCCAAATAAGTGACTTGGTCGACATGTTCAACCACCACTTCACTCCCTATCTAATCCTCATTGATGACTGATTACGGGATAGAGTTATTGAATTCGTGACTAGTGGGGTCTATCAGGTTGGCTGGCTGTGAGGACAGATACCCACCGATAACATTGGCTAGAGGTGACGGTATAAATCACGAATCGATAGAAGTTAGAATTCATGAGTCACTGGATTCCGTCGCATTAGTCAAAGGCGTCTTTTCATGTAATAAGTATTTAAAATTTTCAGGCGAAGATGAATAAGAATGACTAGGTGAATATTCGGTTCACAGTTGTGAAACCGTAACATAGTTCCGTAGAAAGGAGAATTTTTTACACGAGAAAATGTTTACAAATGCTGAGTTGCAGGGATATATGACTGACTTCAAGTTTCATGGCACATTGGCTTTAGTTAGTCGTTTCGTCTTTTCTGAGACCCTTCCTCATCACAGAACGCACTCATAACTCCACCAAGAATCGAACACAGTTAGTCACTAGAATGGTTTCCATATGTTGGTTTACGAGTATGTGGTCACCTAGGCGGAAGTTCTTGTGAAAAGCTGTGACCAGTGAGTGGGTCAACCAGTTTGGCAGTGCACCGATGATATTGACTAGCGGTTGCGCTGTATATTTCACGAAATGGCGGTAGTTAAAATTGATGGGCCAATTTGGATTCTATTCCATTGGCTAACTGGTCAACGAGATCGCCTTGCAACCTGAAAGTCCTACGTTTGTTCCCTGTTGGAGTTATGTTTGTGCATTTCTAAAGTATCCCAAGCTAGGACGAACTAACTACGTCCCCTGGTTTCCGGTACTTCTATAACTGAAATCAATCCGTGACCGAAAGTGAAATAAATGGAATCCCTACACAAACAAGCTCTTGAAAATTAATCTGATGCTCGCTAGTGACTGGCTGAAGGACTAAATTGCTTGGAGTTCTAGTGAGAAGTTGTGATCAATGAGGGCCACCCAGTCGGCAGTGAGGACAAATACTCGCCACTGATGACATTGACTGTGCCAGTCGCGCTAAAATCACGAACTGGTAGAAGTTAGAATTCATGAGCCATTGAATCCGGTCCCAGTGGCTGAATAGTATACGAGCTTGCCTCGTAACTGGAACGTCCTGGGTTCGAACCTTAGTGGAGGGTGTAAACTGCCGATGATTCCCAAACTAGGATGAAACAGCTATCCAAAACTCCCTGGTTTTCAATGGTCCGTTCTCTAACTGATATCAATCCGTGATCAACTCGTAAAAACATATCTAATCCTTACAAACCAAACTATAAAAAATTGGTAGACGTTAGAATTCATGGGTCATTGACTTGCATTTTATTTTTTGATTACAGCTTGATTCCACACTGTATTTTTTGTACAAGTATGGAATTTTCAGCATGTGATATCGGTAACCCAAATTTTGCAGGCCGACCATTGATATCAGGTATGCGTCGGTAGGGGACCGAACCTTGGACCATGTGCATGGTCGGCGAGAGTCCTAGCCACTGTGCCACCGACGCACACAATCCACACAGTGATACACCCATTGACTGAGTATTGGTTTTCAGGAGAACCAAATACACCCATCCCTGCCTCTTGCGAGACGAGACCGTGATGCAGGATCATCCTGTGGCTCAACCACTCGAGAGTGACTAAATCGTCTACGAGTTTGCCTTGTGACCGGGAGGTCATGTGTTTGAAATTCAGCGACAGCGTACTCCCGATGAGTTCCAAACCAGAACGAAACAGATATCCAGTACCCCCCCTAGCTGGCTTTCAATGGTCTGTTCTCTAGCTGACATCAGTCCTTGATCAAACTTGGATTGTGAAACTTGGTTACGTAATCTGAAGACATTTAATAGATGAATATTACTCAGAAATAGTTGTCACTAAAGTTATAAACATTGTGCATCGGTGGCACAGTGGTTAGGACTCTTGTCGACCACCATGCACATGGTCCGAGGTTCGATCCCCTGCCGACGCATACCTGATATCTATGGTCGGCCTGCAAAATTTGGGCTACCGATATCACATGCTGAAAATTCCATACTTGTACAAAAAATACAGTGTGGAATCAAGCTGTAATGAAAAATAAAAACAAATTATTGTTAGGGATCGGATATATCGTTTCTGCAATACATAGTTTCAGGTTTTCTTTATGTTTTGGAAGAGATTCTGCTACGAACAGATGTTGTCGGAAACCTTTTGAACGACTTGAACTTACCATACTTTATTATACTAGTTATTAACTAAGCTTGTAGGTAGATTTTAAAAAATGATCCAAAATATCCTCCAAGTGATGAATCTCAAAGCGAGTGAGACATACATCTTGAATTTTGCCCCTGAAAAGAAAACTACCTGAATCTACAATTCAATGGAGAGTCGTCGGCAGAAATACTGAGAAACTGCCTGTACCGTTTATTGAAGGAAACCTTTTTCATCTCTGAACTTCGACTAACCTTCCATACAAAACCAATAATTTAAAACAAGCAACAAATGTGGTTAATAAAGCAGGTTTTAATGAATCCATGAAATTTCGATAGAACTCGTCAGCTGAATACTCCACGGATATATATACTTTTTAAATTACATTGGGAGATATAAGACTGATAAGCACAAATAAGCTACATTGAATTAGTCATGCAGAAAGACGGGTGCGAATGTTTTCCAGGTCATGTTCAAATAGATCAAGGGAGAGGGAGTATGAGAGATTAAAATTAAGATAAAATACACTACGCTTCAATTAGAGAATATATCAAGAATTGTAAACAGAGTAATATCAATAGTAATGG